TGAGTGCACAAACATACAAGTTAATATACACATCACACCCAGACCCAAAAGTCAGAATCATTTATCTAAATTAGACCAGAAAGGCACTTTTGAACGTCAACAAAAAAAATTAAAAGTGAAGCTCATTCCAAGGTGTACATTCCTATGGAGAAGAACGAGCAAAAAACTCCATAGGTTACCCGAAGCAACAATTTGTGGATCATACAAAGATTTGCTCCGTGGGCAACGGGTGTGTCTGTCATAGAAAATGTCTGCCCTTCGGGGCCCCCTAAGGATGGGGGCCCTGGGCACGGGCCCCCCAGTGCACATATGATAAAGACGGCACTGATTGTGTCCCTACACAATACATGCTTAAGGAATAGAAACCTCTGAAAAAACTATAGTATATGACGGGACAAATATTTGACTCGGAACAAAACAAAAAGGCTAAGATGGTAGTAGATACCAGTGTGAAACAGTTATCCAAAATAGTAGACGGACTTCATGGCTGTGTCAGAGATGGATTAATTAATTTATCGCACGAATGAACGAGGAATATTACCGACCTGTGTATAAAAAATGGCAATCATCGCACGCTATCTTTACAAGTAATCGGAAATCGTTTGCAATTATGGCAGAAAATACGAGAGCGTGTGTGTCTGTTTTTATGGTTTTGGCACATCAATCGGTTGGTTTCATAGGATTACTTGTGATTGAAGAAAGCGATGAAATTAAGATTAGAATTGGCTAGTTTTTTGCTTGGCTGCCTTGCAAGTTTACACTGAAATGCATCGGCATTGTCAATAACTGTGTCATAGGTGATCTGAATGTCGATAAGTTTACTGACTAAATATGATAGTTACAGGGTGTAAACGCTCCCAAAAACGCCGACAGGTGATGGTCAATAAAAAGTTTTGTTATCATTAAAGTAAGGAATTAAATGTTTTTTTTTTTAATTTAATAATAGTTGTAATCAACTGCTCACGGCTGATGTTGCATGAATATTAAAAAGGAATTTCTTTTTTTGTCAGCGTTTGGGAGCGTTCCGTTTGCACCCTGTATTTAGACTATCATTTTCTTTATTTTGTCGACGCATTACCGCATTTAGCATTAGAAGGTTTCTTCAGATTGCATTTTAAAATACGTGTTGCATTTGACATTGGTAATGTTTGTATCTGTGCAGTCTGTGCACATAGTATGTGCAATGTTCTGCATGAAAATCTAGTAACACAAGAAATATGCCTTACTTTTGGTTTAACATAGCACTTTTACTTTCGTTTTTATTTAAGTTATATCAAGGGCATTGCATTTACGTACCTTCAGATAAAATACATATAATGTTAACAACCAATTATTACTAACATTCTTAGTTGGAATGTGTTACTTAACGAGATTGTTTCATTTTGTCTGTTTACAGACGGCTTTGGTTGCGCGGTTTACAATACGTGTGTAATATATAATTTTATGCTATTTGTATGTGTATAGTAAAACAATATACATGCTTAGGGTAGGTACTTAAAATCAAAGCACGCAACTAAAACCTCGAAAAGTTAATCAGATACAACTATTAGAAGATTATAGAAAGTGGACAATAACGTTTATTTACAAAATTATGGATATTAGCGCTAAGTTAAGCACTTTATCGCTGATAAAATAACACAAATACATCCGTAACATAAAATGAAGTGCTAAATAAATAGTAATAATGTTCACCACGCCTATCGGTATGAGCTAGATGAACGATTTGAACACTGGACCGTTGTTTTTACGTTCGCCGTTTGTCGTACTTTCTCTGCTTTCATCTCTGCTCCGACGGTAATTACTGCAATAGAATAATTTATCACCCACAGTTGGACCAAGGCCGTGACGTAGAAGTCTAGTAATTCACTGATATCATCAACAATGTACGATCCAGTTATTTATACAGACACAATCTTGCACTAATGATGATTTAATGTCATTGTAAAGAATTTTATCTAACCACATTTTACAAACTGCAGGCGTTTAGTGACAAAATTCACTACATAGTATAAAAAAAAGTCGCTATCTGCCGTCCCTCTGTCCCTATGTATGCTTAAATCTTTAAAACTACGCAACGGATTTTGATGCTGTTTTTTTAATAAATAGAGTGATTCTTAAGGAAGGTTTATATGTATAAGACATGCATATTGCACCCGTGAGAAACCGAAGCGGGTCGCTAGTAAAGTTATAAATGCGGAAGTTTGTACGCGAGTTTGTCTGTGTGTATGTTACTTAAATAGGTCAAAACGGCTGAAGATCTAAATGAAAGGAACAGGGTAGGTTTTAGTCGGGAATAACACACAGGCTAGCTACTTTTTAAACCACAGCAATTCTGGTAGAAGCTAGTTTTTTTACATGATACAGTTGCTGACCATTGTGTTTCTAAGACGAATTAATTACTTTTCTCTATCATCATCAACCTATAAATGCCTATAAATGCCCACTTCTGAGCAAAGCCTTTTCTCACACGAAGAAGGTTTGAATAATCACCACGCTTGCTCAATGCGGGTTGGCGATTCCAAACTTATAATTAGAAATTATAAGTCCAGGTTTTCTCCTTCACCATTTGTCAGTGGTGTCTAAATAATCTTAGAAAGTACATATAACTCGGAAAAAGTCACATTGGTACTTGCCGTTGGTAGGTTTCGAACCCACACACTCATGCATGAGAAGCGGGCGTCCTAAACCTCCGGGCCACCACGACACATTTTTCTATGCAAAACAGCAATCATCGCGAAATCAAAGCCGCTGTGGGCTTGTCGTGCTGAACATTAATAACACTGGTTCCTGCCCACTTTGTTACTTACTAGAGCGATTGATTTGCACTCACTTCTCGCTTGTGCATTCTTTTTAATGGCTTCGCGGAATCTGTTTATATATAATTATTATTAATGGCTGAAAAATTGGTACATAACTTTCTATAACGCAAGCATGCAACGCGATCATTGTCACAGATTCACTATTCAATTAAAATTTTCAAATTGCTTCCAATATCAAACAAGCTAACGATTGCGTTAAACAACTTATTACAATAACAATGACAATTAAATAAATTGCTTCTATATTTTTATCATTCATTATGTTATACTGATACGTGTTTTTAGTCTGTTCCGATGTTTGTAGTCAGTGGCAAATTGGCAATCCATCTCAGGCACTACTTCCCTAGTTAGTGCATCATTCATCATGCGGCGTGGTGTGTGACATTGCGCACTGGCATCCCGTTCCGCCGGGTGCATTGATTGACGACACGGGGCGATTCATTTTTCCTGCGATTTCCCTCGCTACGCGGTGGTTGGCGGCAACTGGCGGCCGCGCACGCGCCTCAGTCCGTCTGGTCAGCGAGCTAACACGCACCGCTCATTGTTCATAGGTTTATTCTTTCGACGATGCATTTTGATATACAAAAATCTTCCTTCGAGCTTCAATTCTTCCTTTATGGTGTTTCATAAAGTGTTGACCATTGTTCTTTCAAAGGATATTATTATGTGGCTATGTGATACTACAAGTGTTATGTGCTGATTACGGATTACAATAATTATGTCTTTGGATATAATGTTTTTGACTAACGACAACTTGCGCCGCATGCGCAAGGAGCCGCAGGTCCTAGGGCTCCGGTATCGGGTACGTGCATATAGCTATTTATTTTTGAAATGTATTTAGTCAAAGGCTGATAAACTTAAAAACATATCTACCTTGTGTGTAGTAGTTTCAATTTGACGATCAACAAAACTTTAAATTGGAGAATATTAAAATAGAAGGTCAAAATATTTGCGCCCATACACGACTTTTCCAAAAAAAATAACGTTATTTAAAATATGATATTTCGCCCTATTTTGGTTTTATTGTGTCGTAGTTGAATTTATAAACAAAATCTTAGACTCATAGTTACGTCATCATTATTACCATCCATGCTATATTAAAAAAAAGATAAATGAAAGAAAGAATGAAAGAAATAATTTATTTGCTAATAATGTAGGTATACATATAAGTTGGAATGAAGTTAATTGACCCAGTACATTTTACCTTTCGGCATGCAAATTAAATTACAATGTGATTTGAATGTCGTCAAATAGATAACTAGGTATACAGACAAAACTTTAAAATAATTGTAAAAAAAAGCTAATTTCTATAAGTTTATGAGAATGATGAGACATCCCATCTGTTTCTGTTAGCTACTTTTTATCTTGCAGTGGAATTCAATTGTAATTAATAAATAGATCATTTCTACTTCATCAAAATATTATCTTTTTTTAAGCTTTATTGGGATAAGGTTTAGGTAACTCTCTCGGGAGTTACTTCACTTGGGAGTAGGCGCAATATATCTTCTTCTATTTTCCCTTGTCAAATAACCCTAACTCCCTTTTCTTTTTCACTGCCAACCTTTTCGTTGATTTTCACCTTTACTTACCTCTCAACACATATCCGTTATCCTTAACATACTTACTAGGTTATTACAGAAATTGAATAACGTATTTATTAAACTAGTCATTGATGAATAATATACACAACTCGATGGCAACAACATCATTTTATAACTATACAAGTGGAAAATGTAGGTAACTTTAATTTGAAATCGAATTGCCGACATCGTACTGCTACAAATAAATGCCGCTCTAGCTATTAGAGCTTCTCAATTTTCCTCCTCTTCCGCCTCCTACAGGACGACCACAACCGTTCTGTTAAGCAAGAATGAAGCACCTAAGAAGAAGAATATGCCTCTCACTTGACTCTAATCTTATGAGACGATATACTGTTTTTCTGAACTTGAAGTCTAGACATCATGGAATCGTTATATTACTGTCGAATGTCTACACATACATACAGACCTCCCTGGACAACGACCTGCCGTTGTATGTAATCGGATAATCAAAGCACGTGAATGATCTTTTAATTGCAAATATTACTTATCCTTCGTAAATTTTCTGATTGCATCTATTAGAATTTCCACCCGTTTCGAAAGCCAAAGGATGTCCGTTCAGATTTCGTATATTATGTTACAGGGCCTATCAAATGGCGTGGAAAACGACCAGAACACTGCGAACCTACAACCGCTGGAGTTGTCACACAAGCGGCTATCGAACAGTTCCACCACCTCCAACCAGAGCTACGACTCCACCGGCGAGTACGCCGTGCCCAAACACTCGTACAGCCAGCGCGGCGGCTCGCAGCGCGCCAGTGACGTCAGCGACCTGTCCGACCTCGCGCCCTCGCGACACCACAAGATCTCCAACCCACTGTTCGGGGTCAACGCCGCCTCGCACTACGCGCCCGGCGCTCTGCCTGCGCCCGCGCAACACGAAGCCGTCAACGAACAGAGCAAACATTACGAAAGGACGAGCTTACCCAACGGTGTCAGAAAGGCGCCCGAGGGACAGGACAATGAGATTATCAAAAATGAGGACGCGATAGACGGTAGGAAAGAACTGGTAGTGAACCCCAACCAGATCGCGATCACTGAAGGCGGCACAGCGACCTACACCACAGACAATAATGGTAAAATCAATGTTCATGTCACCGTCATGATTAACGCAGGTAATTATATGCATCCTTACGAACTCAAATTGACCGTAACAAGCACATCTAATATACATACTCAATATATAGCACAGTTTATATTATAACAAGTTTATATGTAAAGTTAACCTAACAGTTTGCACAGTGACGGTTTGTAATGTAAATGAAGGTTGGGACTGTGTGCCGGTTTCCAGAATTGATTCACTCTCGAGGATGCATATGAGGCAAGCAGTCTCTCATTGTAGTTGCATGCTGGTTCTTAGCGCGTGGCTCGTTCCTTGTGTTCCCTATTGTGCTACTCGTTACTGGGACTCGTTGCGATTAGTTTATGTCAATTTGTTCAGTGCACGTACTTTCTCAAACTGTCACCTATTTATTGTTCTGTTACCTATCTGTTCTGTTGATTGCACTATTTCTTTTCCAAGATCTTTCTAAATGTTACGGTTTATTTTTTACAACACGTTATGTTTACGTAATTTGTAGAATTGCTATGATGAAGATAAGCATTTAATGTTTACTAACAGTTTAATTAAAAGTAACGCACCGCAATGTTCATTAAGAAACTTTTTGTTTTTGAGATAATTTAAATGTATAGCCATGCTTATCATCAAAGTGAATGTTTCGTAGCAAAAGACGTAATGTTTTCATGAGGTGGGATAGTAATGACTGCTGGGTGTTCCAGGAACTCTCGCAGATTTGAAAAAGCAGCGATCTCAGATTCGAACAAACGGTAGTCCGGTGGAGAGCAGCCTGACGTCGACGAACAACCACAGCCTGAACTCTCTGTCGGAGGTGTCGAAGGCGGACATGCCGGTGCAGCTGAACCCGCTCAGCCTGTCGCCCAGCGCCGCCAGCGTGCCGCGCTTCTCCGGCAACACCAGCGACGTCGTCGGCGACACGCGCTCGCGGCGCTGCTGTATCATCATGTAATTACAATACTGCACCGACCTCGACGGTAAGCGTACAAGTCTGATTGTCATTCCAAAACCAATTTTCAAAGGCTTTTGGACCACTCGCCCGGTTGACTTTCACGTTGACTTCAATCCTAAGAATTGTGATTATGGCTCCAGAGATTATTAAATAGGAGAAGAAAAGTACATTTATGTTTGTTTGCCGCGACTGAAATATTGAGGTTGTCGGTCGGAAGTCAATGGACGAGTGGCGAGTCCGGTAGAGAGAATATAACGTAATATATTGAATGATGCCGATGGAGTATTGCCATGTTTGCTCACAAAGCAAGGGCTTGCCAATGGCTGGAAAACAGTGTGATAGATATATAAGAGCTCAACAATTATTGTATTTTAGCATTAAGAAAACTACGCGGTTGCTAATATTTTATGTAGTGTTAGAAGTGAATCCTATATTGCAGTTATTGTCATATATTTAAGTATTGTATTATAGTTCTTGTCTTATATTTCCTGAACATTCCATTATTCAATTATATTGTTGAAATATTTAATTTATTGTAAATAATTTAATTTCATTGTAAATTTGTATGTTACAGTATTCTTTGAATGTTTCCAATTATTATTTAATGTTACATAGAATGCATAATAAGCATTTGGAACAGAACAAACCATGTATCGCAATAATGATCGTATCGATTGTTCAGAAGTGCCTCTAGTATTGGTCTATAATGCTGCTATGTATGACATAGTATAATTTAATTACTAAATACGATTTATTTAAAACAAAACTAATAAATTATTTTAATAATATTAAGTAAATAATATATAACTTGCGGAGACGAAAGTGAAACCTTATTTAATATTTGTAGAACAGAAGTGTTGAGTATATCCTTAACTGAACCTAGCTGCGATAACTGCCTTAGTTTCATCGGACCACTCTATGGCAATAAAATAATATCACTAGGGTTTAACAGATATAAACATAGTACTTAATATGGATATACATTGTAATACGTACGGTACTTTCACAATTTTAATAATTAGATAAATTATGCCATAAGTAATACTATTCCAAATTAAATTCAAAATTGTAGTATAAATAAATCATTAAATTATATAATAAAACATCTAAATTTCTAATGACTTGTCTACTAAAAATATAAAACTATAAGTAATGGAATTTCTAATTGTTTAGTATTTCAACTAATTGAACTGTTTGAGTTACAATTTCAAATAAAGACTGGATTTGTTATGTAGGTTTTATATTTATTAGTAGAATACTATCGGCAACATGTGCTACTACAATCGATTATAATAACTATGATATCCTGTTAGGTATTGGTCGATCGATTAATTAATTTCATTTATTTGTCAAATAGCAAAATAGAGATGCAAACATTTCCACTGAGAGAGATGGCTGGCCATCTCCAAACGGACCGTTTAAGGCACTTATAATGCATGCATCTGAAATATTAAATATTGTTGTTATTTCAACAAACAATGTAATGTACTGGGACTTTGAAAAAGGTTTTAGACTTTAGAGAAAGAACAGTAATTAAATGTTATAATCTTGTAGTAACGCATGCGTACTGAAGTTTGGTTTAAATTCAAAATACAGCTGTTTGTTGACAAAGTGAGGGGGCCACGGCATTCGTGCTGGTAGTTTGTTTTACCATCCATAGATTACAGTGACGCACGGACAGTTTAACTTATGACATGTCGCCTAACGCCTACAACAAAATTACTATAAGATACCGACCATCTTGCATCGAAACTAAGACTTTACTGTCGATCTAGATGTGTATTAACAGTCAACACTTTACAAATCCTAATAATCTTCACAAAAATATCTTGCCTAATGTGATTACTAGATGTCGCTAGTCGCTAATTAACAACCTTTTGTTTGAATTCATAAAATCAATGCGTCAATTGTTACTACACATATATAAAATATCATACTGACTAGAAAAATATTAAAAGTGCTCCCTTAAGCATTCACGTGTAATGTAACATTATAGATTCGACTTTGAGCATTACATTACAATTAAAAGTGCTCCCTTAAGCATTCACATGTAATGTAACATTATAGATTCGACTTTGAGCATTACATTACAATTAAAAGTGCTCCCTTAAGCATTCACATGTAATGTAACATTATAGATTCGACTTTGAGCATTACATTACAATTAAAAGTGCTCCCTTAAGCATTCACATGTAATGTAACATTATAGATTCGACTTTGAGCATTACATTACAATTAAAAGTGCTCCCTTAAGCATTCACATGTAATGTAACATTATAGATTCGACTTTGAGCATTACATTACAATTAAAAGTGCTCCCTTAAGCATTCACATGTAATGTAACATTATAGATTCGACTTTGAGCATTACATTACAATTAAAAGTGCTCCCTTAAGCATTCACATGTAATGTAACATTATAGATTCGACTTTGAGCATTACATTACAATTAAAAGTGCTCCCTTAAGCATTCACATGTAATGTAACATTATAGATTCGACTTTGAGCATTACATTACAATTAAAAGTGCTCCCTTAAGCATTCACATGTAATGTAACATTATAGATTCGACTTTGAGCATTACATTACAATTAAAAGTGCTCCCTTAAGCATTCACATGTAATGTAACATTATAGATTCGACTTTGAGCATTACATTACAATTAAAAGTGCTCCCTTAAGCATTCACATGTAATGTAACATTATAGATTCGACTTTGAGCATTACATTACAATTAAAAGTGCTCCCTTAAGCATTCACATGTAATGTAACATTATAGATTCGACTTTGAGCATTACATTA